AAGTTTAACCAGAGAGAAAAGTAAGTAAAGAAAGAGAGGGAAATAATAACGATGATAAGTAGAGAAGATGAATAAGGTAAAATTTGCTAACATTTCAAGAGCGCATGAATTTCGGTTAAGGAAAAGTCGAATACTTTTCTGAATAAACATTTGGCTTCCCTCCCTTTCTACCCTCTTTTCCTTTCCCCTTTTATCATCATCATTATCTCTCTCTCTCTCTCTCTCTAAACGCTCTGTCTATTTCTGTCGGTTGACTTTCTAACCCAATGATGATAATGGAGCAAAGAATTTTATCACCAGAAAGAAAAGAAAAGAAAAAAACTAAAACAACAACTATCATCATCATCATTATTCTGTGTCCCCTTGAAATACCATGAACATGATGAAAGAGAGAGAGAGAGTGAAAGTCCTCCCATTTTACATTTTCGATTCCAGGTTTTCCCTCTTATCCTGGCTTCCATTTCCTTCAGCATTTCATCATTTATATTTATAATTTTATCTCTTTTTAGAATCTAGATCATGATCACCAATCTCTCATTCCAATTATCCCTTCTTCGAGATACCCTGTAGACCCGGGCTTTTGTAGATTCTTAATGAGTCAGAAGCTCGTTTCTACAGGTTTCTTGATAAGGTTTACCTTCAATGACCATCATCATCATCAAAGACTGACCATTGATGAGAGTTGATAATAGTCCAATCAATAGCACTTGATAATATATGGAATCTTTTTTTTTTGAAAATCATCATGAAGAAAATAAAAGAGAGCTGATGATTCAGATGTTTCCTCCTCCTTCATCTCATGAACATCCACCATGTAAAATCAATAAAAGCTTATTGATTTTATCATGAAAAAGAAGAAAAAAAATTGAGATTCAACAATACAGTTAATCTTATTGGGATATAAACTATTGTAATATTATCCTTTTAATATCCAATTGAAATATCAACAATTTAACTGATTGTTGAGTCAATCATATTACATGTAATCGTGATTGTTGATCTTGATAATTAAACTTGTAATGTGATTATTGATTAGCTTGAGATATTGTTGATTGTTAGTTAATATCAAAGATTAGCTAATAAGTTTTTGTTTATAGGGAGTGATTAAGATTAAGATAATGTCAAGATGATTAAGATTCAATGTTGATGAAAGATTAACATTAAATGATTAACTTTCGGCTGAGGTGCAAACCTGTCAATTAAACATCAACATCAATAAACATGATGAAAGGTGATCATCATTTCATCAACATCATCGTAATTCAGTTAGTAGCTTTTTTTGTATCTTCTCACTCATGTCACACCTCATCATGTTCATCATCGTCATCATCTTTATCCTCCAATGTTAATGAGAAAATTTGTAAATTGTTAACAATCATCAACCAGAATTACATGATGTTCATTGTGAACAGTGAGATAACCAGGGTTATTCAACCAGAAATTAACTATAGGAAAATGAATGAGAAACAAACAATCAGGACAATGGCTTCTGATGGTCAGTTTGGGTCAGTCTCTTGGTGGGAATTTGACAATCACCCCGATGATTGTCATCAGGGATTTGGAATCGATGGATTTACACCTCATCGAGAAACCTGTAGAAACGAGCTTCTGACTCATAAAGGGTCTACAAAAGCCCGGGTCTACAGGGTATCTCGAAAAAGAGGCTATTCAAGGACCAGAAAGTAAATGGATTTCGATAAACATCAACACCATGAACCAGAAAATTCTGAAAATGGAAAAGACGAAAAATTATTGGGAAAGAAAAAGGGTTGGTTCTTTTTCCTTCTATTGGGTAACATTGAATTCATCAAACGGGACAAGAGGAAATATTATCGAAAACAAGGTCGAAATTCTGGAAGGAAATTCAGTCACCAATTCAAAAGGAATATCCCATAGACGAAGTAACAAAAAATGTAGAACAGAGGAAATGAAAATCTAATGGGTTGAAATTGTTTTTCCATGAAAAGTTGAATTCAAAGGGAAAAAGAGAGAAGGAAAAAATGAATCGAATTTTTTTTTGTTCTTTTCAACATTTTAAGGTGAATGGAAAAGATAAACACATTATAGTAAACACGATTCGAGGGTTCGATAATCGGGATTAACTGTTAATCGGTAAAACACTGGACACAATTGATGAAATTTCAACAATTAATTTTTTTCTTCTCAACAATTGATTGAACTGAATTAAGAAAATGTTATTCACTCAATTATGATCAAGATGTAACAGTGATTGTGTTTTTTTCCTCCTGGTAAAAAATTGTACCCTCACTATCATTGGGTTAGAAAGTCAATAGACAGAAGAAGACAGAGTTTAGAGAGAAAGAGGAAGATAAAAGGGGAAGTTATGAGAAAGAAAGAAAAGAGCGAGAGGGAAAGAGATGGAATCCCAAACCTGCGCATTCGAAAAAAGTTCTTTCGCATTCTTCCCTTTTTTCTTTCTTTCTCTTTCTCTTTTATCTTCATCTTCGATCGTTTTTCCCTCTCTTTCTTTACTTACTTTTCTCTCTGGTTAAACTTTCGAACCTTTTGCTTGTAGTTACGAATATGAGAAGAGAGAAAAGGAATCGTCATTTTAGTTTAATTTCTCTAATTAGTTAATTGTTCTGATGATTTGAATTCATAATTAACAAATTATGGAAACAATTAGTGAAAGTGATTAAGGGAAAGGGAAAGAGAGAAAGAGAAGGAGAAAGAGAGAGAAGGAGAAGGAGATAGAAAGTTGACAATTTAGTTGGAAAGAAATGAGAATGGAAAATGAGAAAGAAAAAAAACTTAACTTACCTTTAGATTGTTGTGAATGAATTTGTGTGTAACTTACGAGAAGTGATTTGTTTTGATTAGAATGTAAATTAACTGACAATTAATAAAGAAAAGAAAAGGTAAAAGGAAAAGGTAAAAGGGAAAAGAAAGAAATAGAAACAACTGAATGAATGGAATTTGATGAAATGAACACAAGTTAATCTGAAGAAAACGTAGAGATGAGAATACGAAAAAAATGGTTACGAGAGATGATGAAGTGAGAAGATGATGATGAGAACAAAGAGGGAAAGAGAGAGAGAGAGAGAGAGAGAGAGGAAAGAGGAGGGAAGATAGAAAAAGAGGAAGAAAAGAAAGAGAAAAGGAAAGAGAAAGAGAAAGAAAAAGTTTTCTTTTTTATTATTTTACCTTTAGAACTTTTTTAGAACCGGTTTTCTTTTCTGGGATTGTCCGAAGTTGAATAAATGATTGTGTTACCATCGTCACCAATGAGTTCTAAGGCTGCTTTTAACTTCCTCTCATCCGTATCATCATCATCTTCATCTCTCTCTCTCTCTTTTCTCTTTTCTTTTCCTCTATCAAAGGCGGACTTATCTGCTCTTTCTCTTTTCTTCTCTATCATCAATGTACCTAAAATATTACATTAATCGTTATAATGATAATGATGATTATCATTATAATAGTAATAATAATTCGAATTCTTTTAAAATATTATATTATTTTCCAATTGATAATAATATTTAATTTCTCTCTCTCTCTCTCTCTCTCTCATCTTAGCCTATATATTATTTGATCTGCAGTCTCAAACCATTCAAGTAATTTAATCTTAATTGCAGAAAATAAATCATCAACTATGATCCTAAACTATTGTTTCATTGTGACAATTGAAATTCAATGGAAAAGACAAAAGATTAATCCACAAAGGTGACACACTTGATAATCTCAATTGTCTTATCATTGTTTATCAATTCATATTAAAACCTTTTGATAATAATAGAAAAGTTGATTAAATTGTTAATCACAATTAACCTTGACAAACACCATTTATTTGTCTTGAATCACAGGTAAACATAATTGACTTGCCTAATTGCCTGAGGCTATAAAGCTTTTTTTTTATAAATGACAAACAATCATTAACAATTAAGAATAATTAACTGTTGCAGTGGAAACAAAACAACAGCAATTGTTTAGTTTGAAATTTTTACGTGATCACAATTAAGCAACAATTTAAAATGCAAACATCCTAAACTGAGATAATTTATTTCCACAATTAATTATCATTACAATCATTTGATTGATAAATTGATTAGTTTTGATAAATGATGACACTTAATCCAGTTTAATAGGAATGATTCAAGTTAATCACTTTGTTTCTGGTTCTGATGCTTTTGACACATTCAACCAATTTGTTGATTTTTAAATTAATTAACCTACTAAAAGTTGTTAATTGTTGTCTATGATATTCAATTGCCTTCTCAAGTGATTATTGTTGTTGTTGGCGATGGTAGATTAAGTTAATTAAGTTTCTGGTTACACAAATTGCTAATTGTTTATGTTACCAAATTAAACACACTCACACTTTTAATTCAGTTAACACTCAAAAATAGTTAACTAATAATCATGTTAATCATCATCATCATCAATTATAATCTGATTCTGACATTACAAAAGTAATTATCACAATGGTGATGATGATAATGGTAACAATGATATCCATGAAATTAGAAACTGAATTGAATCAAATTGTTTTTGGTTGGAAGTTCGAAAGTTTCAAGAAAAAAAAACTATTCGAAAAAAGAAAAAGTTTTTTTTCTTAAAATTAAAAGTTTTACTCTCGAAAATCTTGTAAATCTGTTTAAGAATAAATTACAAAGATTATACCAAAGTAATTAACCAGATTATCGGATTACCAGGAGGATTAGACTCGATATGCCAATAGATGGAGTTGAAGAAAAGAAGAAGAGAGATTGAGAATGAGAATGAGAGGAAAAGGAAAAGGAAAAGAGGAGGAGAAAAGTTTTTCTTTTTTTTCGAAAAAAAATTCTCTTTTTTTTTGCTCGAAGAGAGAAAAACTTTTTTTCTTCTCAAACTGAAAGTTAGGAGGAGTTAAAGTAGAGTAAGAGGAGGAGACACAAATCAATGACGTGGTGAATGATGATAAATAGAGAGAGAGAGAGAGAGAGTGAGTGAGAATGGGGGAGAAAATAGTAAAAAAGAAAAAGGGGTATTCATCATCTTTCATCTTCTTCTTCATCATCATCATGCCTAATACGATGTTTGTTTGTTGGTGTTCATGTTGAGCTCAGCATTCTTGTCATTCAATGACACCTATCGGTCTGTCACACTGTTTCATCTTTATCATCTTCTTCATCGTCTCCTTCTCATCTTCATCTTCTCTCTAAAAGTCTCACTCTTTTTTTACAGCAAGATTTTAGTATCAACACCACAACAATAAAAACAACAACATCGATAACAACATAACAAAATTTAGAAATAAACAGTTATCACGCTGCTCACTCAGCTCTCTCTCCCTTTTTATCTTCCATCTCTCTCTCTCTCTCTCTCTCTCTCTCTCTCTCTCATGTGTCTCTTCATTGGTTTTTTCTCCTTCTGCTCATCATCATCCTCATTTTCATCTTCTTCTCATCAGAAACCAATTCGATCAAGTCTTTCATCATCATTTATCTTTTAAATGTGTTTAACTAAACCTTCAGCATCTTCTTCATCCTCATCTTCACCACCATCGGTAACAACAACTCCACCAACAACAATCAGTACCACCACAACAACAGCAACAACCAAAGGTACAAAAACAATGTTATCTAAAAAAGGTAACGGTACTTCTCGTCGTATGCGAACCGCTTACACCAATAATCAACTTCTCGAACTTGAGAAAGAATTTCTTTTCAATAAGTATCTATGTCGACCTCGTCGAATCGAAATCGCATCTACTTTGGACTTAAGTGAACGTCAAGTAAAAGTTTGGTTCCAAAATCGTCGAATGAAACACAAAAGGCAAAACCAAATAACCAAAGGTGGAGGTGGTGGTAATTCTGGTTGCGGTGGAAGTGCTGGTTCATCATCTTCATCTTCATCTTCATCATCAACATCTTCTTGTAATAATGCAAACTCAATTAAAAACGCTAATTGTGATTCGATTGATAAATGTCATTCAATTGCCTCTTCCAGTTTATCTGATGACGATGATAATGATGATGAAGATGAAGATGATGAAGAGGATGAATCATCTTCACTTCATGGGAGTCCAATAACATTTATCAACAACAACAACAACAACAACCAATATAAACAATCACCAAAGAGACTGTAATAATAACAATAATGATGACGATGAGAAGATAAAACTGATTAAGTCAACATCTTCCTCATCCACACCCTGTCACCATGAACGACTTCCTCCTGTGGGATGTTTAGCCAATGGATCAATTAAATCATCGACACCTCCAACACCTCCAACAGCTTCCCCTCTCTTCAACTCTTCCAACCTTTTACCCAAAAGTGAACCTCTACCCGCCGGGGCCTGTGAACCATCACCTCTCTTTCCCGGTCATGATGATATTCCCACCTTATGTTCACCCTCTTCCTCATCACCTGGTTCAACAATTCATCCAACATCAAATCAAACAACTTCCTCATTAACATCTTCTTCCGGTTCAACTGCTTCAGGTTTACTACCACCAACCACGATCTCATCAACAGCTCCTTATTCAATTTCCAGTAAATATTATCCCAATGGTGGTTCATTATTTAATCCTAATCATCTTAATCACCTTCAACACCAACAACAACAAAGGCAATTGATCAATAGTCATGGTGTTAAATCATCACCATCTCCTCCCTTACCACCACCTTCATCTCGCCTTTCAAAACGTTTACCTGGTAAAGGTAATTCACACCATCGATTAACTTCATCCTCTCTCAATGAAATCTCATCAATTTGTCCACCATCATCCCAACAATCAATGGGCCAAGATGATCTTATATTAAACCCTCTCGGATTAAATTCAGCAACAACAACAACACCAACAGTTCAACTATCAACACAACCTTCAACGATCTCACAACCTCCCTATTCAATGGGTTCAAATAAATATTATCCAAATGGTAATTTAATCTTCAACAATCAACAACGTCAGTCAACAACAACAACAACTAATTCAACAACAAATTACACCTTAAACAATATTAATGGTGAAAGTGATACAGTTAAAGGCTATTATGACTATCAATGTGACTACCCAACAACAACAGGATTATTATCAACAGCAACACCATCAGCACCAACAAATAATTCATCTGATAACAACAATAATTCAACCAATGGTCAACATCATCAATATCATGATGACAGTTACATGGACACATCAAACGGTAGCTATAACTGTGAAGTACAAAACACCAACATATCAAGCACAGAGAGTGGCGGTGGTGGTGTTGGTGTTGGAGGAGGTGAAATCCAGCACATTCCCACTGAGAATTGTAATAATATCTACAACCAACAGCAACAACAACAACAACAACATCATTTAAATCATAATTTACCACAAATTCACCATCAATATCATCACCAACAGCAACAATTTAATAATCTTCAAAATCAACAACCAATCCAACCGCAAGTTCATCAACAGCCACAACAACAACAACCACAACAGCAACAACATTATATCCCACAGCATCTTCGTCAACATCAACAACCTCATCATAATCAACAACAATTAACAACTTACAATAATCAAAATAGTAACAATATTAACGATATTAACTCGGAACTTGAATTTTACAATTCTAATTCTAATAATAATAATCTTTACGATTCCAATTATTATTCTGAATATTCAACATGTGGATCAGTTAATAATGATTACAATGGTTTCACCAATTCAACAAATGACTTTTTCTCAAACGATTATTATCAATTGTGTTGACAATTTATCTCAAAATAATCAAAAAAAAGGTGAACCTTTTCTGCTTCGTCAACAACAGGATTTACAACAATCAACAATCATCATGAAAATATCTCATGTTTGTTGAAATCAAACAGAGAAAATGAACAAAAAAAAACAAATTAATTTCCTTGTAAATTGCAAACAATTAACTGTGCAAAGTTTTTTCTTCCTCCCTGAATTGCAATGATGATGATGATGATGATGATGATAAGATATGTATTATTATTGATTATGATGACAATCATTAGGTAATGACGATAATGATGATTTACATTTATCATCATCATATGTTATGTATTTTTTTTCTCATTCCTTATCTGTAATTTTGTTTCATCCTCATCATCCTCCTTCTCATAATCAAAAACAACACTGATGACAATTAATCATCATGATCACGGTGAAAACTGAAAATTCAATTCAAAGTCAATAACTGAACAAAACTTTATGTAAAACTATCAGATAATATTAATGATAAAGAAAATACAAAATAGAAAACCAAATTAAATAAAGTACAATCTCATTTAATTGAAGACAAATTATAATTTTCTTCTTAATTGCTGTTGTAACAATCTAATTAGCGATCACCAATTGTGTAAACATAACGTTGTTGCTTTCGTGCAGTGTCCCAAACGATTGGATCCCCGAACTTTTTAAAAGAACAAAAAAAAAAGTTGTCACTTCGACGTTAGAACTTTTTAACTTTTCTTTTCTCTCTCTCTCTCTCTCTCTCTCTCTCTCTCTCTTTCGTTTCTTTTGCTGGTTCGTTGGGTTCGAGAATCATTTTTCACTTGTTCGAAGGGAGAAAAATAAATTTTCTTTCTTCTAATTTAATTGTTGATAATTTAACTTTCACTCTGTCTTTTCCTTGATTATCAGGAAAAAACATATAAATGGAATTACTTTGAATGTGAACCATTGATTTATATTATATTGAAATAATCTAAATGCATGATTAACTTTTTCCTCTTCATTTGAGTCTGATCGTTGTAGACAATTAACTGAATTAATTGTGTTAACTTTTCCTTTCTTAAAATTTTCCCAATGAAATAATCAAATAATAACAAGTTAATTGTTTGAAAATTATTAACAAGAAAAACAAGTGTGAAAATGATTAATCAACTTTCATATTATTATTTGAGAAACTTAATCATTCAAACAATCAATGACTCTTGATCACTTTTTGTTTTCATTGATTCATTTCCAAGTTAAAAAAAAGTTAATCAACTAATCATTCTGGATAATAAATGGATATTTTTTTTATAATCAAGTTTAGTGGATTGGTTAACAGATTAACGTAATGATTAAGTGTAATCTTATCAACGGAAATTTGATCTTGAATCGGAAAGATTTTGCAATCTATCAATCAGTCAATCAATCAATCAATCAGCTAAATAGTCAATGATTTGGATCCACACCCAAAGTTAAATAAAGATAATAAATATTTAGATTGATAATAATTAATTTATTTACAGTGATTATTTACCCTTGAAGATGAGAATCTTGTTAATTCAATTTTTTGATTTTTTCTAATCAAAGTTAATCTCTAACGGGAAAATTATTAATAATAAAGCAAAAAAGCAGCAACAAAACCATGAAAACCTTTGAATATCACATTGAACCTGAAGATTATCACCGGAAGTGTTGTGTGAGTGAAAAAAAAGTGGGAGGAAAAACCTATGGGTAAGGGAGGAGGCGGAAGTGAGATACACAAGAGGAAACATTCATTTCCAAGGTTTTTGCAAAAAAAAAGAGCAACTATCAACAACTATCTTCTTAATGTAAATATAATATCAACAAAACAACAACAAACACACACTCAGACACTCACACAGGGAGAGATTCACCAACATTCACAATACAGTCTCATTCATATCCATTATTATAGGTCAGGAATTGAACGGAACTTGGGTTAACATGGGAAGATGAAAAGATGATGAAAATGGAGAGGATGAGAGAGAGAGAGAGGAGAAAACAAAAAAAAATGATGAAAGTGAAAAAAAGAGACAGCAAAAGAAGCTCCAGAAGCTGCATCATGCTGCAAGAACAAAGAGTCTAAGATGAAGAGAGAGGAAAAAAACTTCATGATGATGAGAGAGAAAGATGATGATGATAAGAAAGAGAAAAATGAAAAAGAGTAACAAAGTTGGAAGATAAGAGAGAGAGAGAAAGATGAAAAAAAGTGAAAGAAACGATATCAGGTTGATGTAGGTTCTAATTAGCAACTTTTTTCTCTCTCTTTTCATCCTGTTATTAGTTTCTATTAGTTTCCAGAGCATTTCAACTTGCATTCTGATCATCATCATGATATTATCATGATGTATCATGGTTATATTTTGTTATGAAAAGAAAGGTTTTATCTGATTTCATGAAACTTTTCCCGACATAATTGATGACCTTAAAAACTTTCGGTCTAAGTTTTTTTCCCTTCTCGACTTCCTATTGATACTTTTAGTCAACTGAACAGAACTTTTTTTTTCTTGGTTCATCTTCATGTTTCTGTGTTCATTTTTGTGTATATTTCTCATGACGATGTAGCACAATGTTGCAGAGGAGCAAAAAAATCAACAACTTCATGTTGATCTTGATGATGATTATTATTTTTTTACTTCTCATCTCCCTCAGATTTTGATTGTAATATTTTAGCACAAAGTTTAAGCTTCATTGTCATTAAACTGACATGATACTCAGTTGACTATCTCATGATCCACTGAATTTTATATGTATATTCATTGGAGGTTCATGGTTCATGTGAGTCTCATTTATATTGTTGGTGATTAGTGAATCAGAATTGTAATACATTATTGTCCTGAAATTTTGTCTCTCAACAATGATAACGAGAAAAAAAGAGTAATCAAACTTTCACTCAAAGACAATAATTGATTAATTTTCTAATCTGTATAATCTTGCGGATGGATTATGGTTAACTAATTAGGTTTAAATCAGTGTGCAGCTTGAATGGATTAATATATTTATCGATAGTAAGTTCATAATCTTAATCCATTAATATGGTGAGTCAAGTTAGTGGTGATTTCGATGATGGTGATGAGGTGATTTCTCCTTCCCCTTTCATCCTTACTCACGGTTGAGTGACCCAAATTTCATCAGCCATGTGATGGAAGAGAAGAGAGAGAGAGAGAGAGAGAAATTGTGTTTCTCAATTCATGTAACTTCCTGATCATTGAAACTTGAATTCAGCTTGAAATGTGAAAGGAGAAGAAGAGAATTCGAAAAAAAAACTGAACTTTTTTTGTCTCCCTCTTTTTTGTACTACAACAAATTCTTGGTTCCATGAATACAGAATCAATTATAGTTCTGTATTCATTTTCCATGACAAAACAATAATAACAATAATCATCACACTTAAACAGCAACAATAACAAGTAACAATTTTTACCTGTAATTAAACCTGTATTCATATTCATAATCGACATGGTCGAAACCCTCTGACAAAAAAACTTTCATTTGGCGCCAACAAAAAAGTTCTAATAGGACAAAACAGCAAAAAAAGTAAAAAGAGTTTCGATTTTCATCCATTCATGAGCATCATCATGCTACAGATTCTGAATAACAACCCCCTTCACAAACGATACTCACTGAATTTCAACAAGGTGAATTTAGATGAATGAGAAAGAAAAACTCTCACTTGAAACAACAACAACAACAAAATCAAAAGTGGATCCAAACTCTAACCCAACACATTAAATTGTTGCTGCAGTTTTTTTGCAACTTTTTATGCATAATAAATGATTGTTTATGTGTCCATCCTGCTGATAAAGTGTAACTGTTGACCTCAATTCTGTCTCTTTTTAGCTTCATGTTTTTTTCATCTTTCTGGCGATAAAATTTGAAGTTGTAGCCTTTTGTTTGATGATCAGTATAATGGTACAGGCGAAGGGGAAAGTGATAGAGAGATGATGAGGATGATAGAGTGTAATGTCGCAACAATTACTATTATTGACTCTCAATGAATTATTACATTGGAAACCAATGGTAGATGAACAGAAAACAATAGTAAATATTTATTTACATTCATTGATGGTTGTAAAAGTAGGGAGAGAGAGAGAGAGAGAAACTTTTGTTAGAAGAAGAGTAGGAAGAGGAGAGTTGTAGGAGATGGGATGAAAGCAAGGAAGAGAGATGAATGAGAGAGGTAAGAGAATCAAGAAGAGAGACAAAGGTTATGATGATGATAAAGCCCTTAAGGGAGAGTAAAGATAAAAGATGAAAAGAGGAGCCTTTTTCCCGGTTTTGTGTCAGATGAAAAAGGCCTGAAAACCAGAGTCAACCTGATGCCGACTTTTTGGTGATGAAGATAAGGAAGATGAAGATGCAAAGCGTTAAGTTTGAAACCCAAAAAGAGAGAGGGAACCAAAACTTAGCCATTGAATGCTCTGCATTTGCTTACCTGGTCCATCGGTTACATTTACCTTTATTATCTTGATCTTGTTGGCTTAACATACGATGTTTCAATTTGGTCCCTCTAAACAGGTAACACACCGGTTAAGTGATAAGTTTAATCCCTCACTGGGAGTTAATATTTATTATTGGTTGGAAATCTATTGGTAGAAGTGGTAAGTTCATCAATGTCAACGGTGGGTGGTAAAGGATGAAAGTGGGACGAATAGGATTCTGAAAGGTTTGACATTTTGTCTGATGATGAGAGGATAATATTTGATGATGAGAGACGGTGGAAAGACATGATAAAAGGTGATAAAAGTGCAAGTGAAAAAAGTTGCCAAGAGTTTAAATATAATATTCACCGAGAAAATAAGAGAAAGACAATTTATATTTTTTTTTTTCCTTCATCTTTTAAATTAGTTATTCAGATTAATCTGATAATATTGTTTCATAATTGGCAAAATATCATATGAAAATTTCAAACCTATAAGATTGAGATGACAAGGTGGATGACAAGATGATGAAAAACTGTAAATACGAATAAGAAGAAGCCGATTCCCATCATCACCCCACCGACATCATCATCATCATCAATGATGGACAGTATCAGTTAGATTCATGAATCTGATTATGTCATGAATCAGATGATCCATAGATCCTCATATTAGATTATAACTTTTACATTATGTTGCATGAAATGGATTCTAGTTTGAAATCCATCATCATGATGACCAATAATTTTGCAAAGTAATAGAAAGACAATATGGTTACTGTAAGTAGGTGGAGACACAATGAAAGAAAGAAAAAAAGACAGAGAAATCCATGTAAATATCGGATGAGGAAGATAAAAATTATCTATTCCGTTGTCCATGTTAACAAGGTCGATCCATTTACTTACATTGATATTCATTGTGGTTCCAATGTAATAATAATACACATTGATGGTCGTGAATCTGTTTGTACAACTTTTAGGCTCAACCAATCACGCCAATGATGATGAATAAGTTTTGAGTATTTTTGAGGAGGATGCTGAAGATGATGACGAGGGAGCATATGCAGATTATCCCAATGGATCCTATTATTATCCATATGAATTATATCGCCAATGATGAAGACCAATGTTAACAAAAACGCTCTT